GGATATGATTATGCATACAAGAGAGTGAGGACAAGGTGGGTTTCCGTAGGTCTTACTAATGCTACAAACAAATTTACAAAACAAGATCAGATAACCTCTATACAACGACCTCTTTGATTATGTACTCATTATATAATCTACTGGCATAACTCCGAGGGAAACAAAAAATAGCGTTACTAGTCTGTGAAGATGGCAAGCATATATTCGCGCTTTCTGCAACAAAATCAACAATTTTTCGTGTGTATTATACTATTTTTTAGTCAATTCTGAAAGCCTGGTGCCTGCCTACTCAAATATGATACTAGCAGTAGTGTGATCAACAATTGCTTCAAACCATTATGCTGTGCTGGACTACTGGTTCCATTACGAAATTAATGTGAAAAAGAAGTTACTGTGGCTAACAGATTCATTATCGAGAAAATCCTACTTGTTTTTTGGGCGAGAGAGAAAGATATTAACACATGCCACCTAAACCTAATATTTTGTACAAATGACATAGCCTAAGGTAGGCGGCAGAAATATGGCGAAACCAATCCCTGCTGGCCAAAAAATTATACCTTCAAGTCGAAAGGTGACAAAAAATTACCTTTTCTGGATAGCCGATATAATGGAGAGGAAAAAACGAGGATTGAAGTGGGAAGTACAGCAAACGAGCATATCTAGAGTTTGTATAAAGAGTGGCACGCAATCACAGAGTATATGGGTATACTAGGAAAGTGGTGTCGTATCGCACTCATACACTACTGAAATGGGTATGGATAAGTGCACCCAAAGCAGGAGCAATACAAAAAATGCAATCAAAGATGGGCTTGAATAAAGTCTGTCAGACTGTTTGAGAACCTACTTTGCCACCTGAACTTTACAACGCCCAGAAACAGGACAGCAGAGATGGCAAACATATAGTTAGAATTATGGATTTATCAGAAAAAAGGAGGAAAGTTTCAGGTACAGGATTGAACAGGCTCTAGAACTAGTTTGTAGGCGTCTTTTTGACATATATCCTCGGCTCCTGGATCGATTTTGGTTGGAACAGTGCAACCACTAGTCAGCATTATAGTACCACGATGCTAGTAATACTACAATTAGCACTACTCCACCATAATAGTTACCATCAGACTAATCTTGTTGCACAGCCTCCTATTTCTCATATCCTTCCAGTGTTTATAGGATCCGGAGAAGGCTAATCTGAGAAAGGTCATGCATTGAAATATAAGGGCCGCGTCAAGTGCTGTCAGGCCATAGAATATCACAGAATTCGTTGAAAGTTAAAGTGAAGGAGGACTTCGACCCCCGTCACAAAAATCGAAATAAGGCAGGCCCTGCCCAGACCGATTGGTTATTACTATTCTGCAGATTCACTCGACGACTCACCAGACATAACGCCAGACTGACCAGCGCCACTGTACTTGCCACGCCCAGCTTGCCCATCAGGAAGATGTAACTGATAGACCGCTGGATGCCTTCCACGCTGATGCCCAACTCTCCGGAAAAAGATGTGAGTACACGCCAGGCGATGTGCATATGACAACCGTCGAGAGCTGGTCATAAATATGGAGAAAAAGAAGAAAAGCTATATTAAATTGCCCCCGATGATGGGTACGCAGCAATAAAAAAGAAAGGAAATGAGAGGGATATTAAAATGAAGACGATCATGACTATGATCCAGATCAACAGTTAGCTTAAATCGGTATCCAATGGATGCGTCAAAGGCTACTGAATTGATGATACTTGATACAATAGACTTCGGAACCATACAACAGAGGCACATGAAGCAGATATTTACACCATCAAGCTGTAAACGGGGACGGGTCCGATACTAAATAAGTTGATTTCGAGAAATCATGACTTAATGCAAGTAGAAAATATTTGAGATTAATTAGCAAAGAAGCAATGTGTGCAGGTGGTTTAAAGTAAATGTAGTTGAACTCTGCACAACGTCATCTTAATTTATTGGCAATAGCAACCCTTGAATACGCGGGCCGTTGCAAAAGAGAAATAAATAAAAGCGAAAACGAAATTCCCTATCTGGTAAGTATTTTCTGCACAAACAGGCTCTGGATGAAAAGGTTGAGTAAAATGATTCGGAGAAGGTAATACAATGATTTCATTCTTTCGGACCAAATCTCTACTTTACAATAACAAATAATCAACTGTAATTTAAGACAGCATAAAGCACTTGTAATCCAAAGAAGACGCGTAAATATAGACCTGCACTTTGTGGATTTACTACTTTTAAGACATACTCCTATCGAATATAAATTGCAGCCATGAATGCAATGGAAAGCACATGACTAACTCTTCTACTATCT